GTACATTTCTTGGATGCAACAGAAAGATGGATCATGTTTTGTATCCAGTCTGTTAGACTGAGTCTATTATGGAATTGAGACAAAAAGATGTTGAGAATTATTAACAAGCAATGTTTGTTGATTCCTGCTATTTTGTTATTTGTGTGTGTGTGTGTGTGTGTGTGTGTGTGTGAGTGAGTGTATTTCTCCCTTATGTTGGTATGCTGGTCTGATATTAGTTATTCTTGTGTTTTCTTGGATGCAGTTAGCCTCACCTGGTTGAAGTTTTCCTTCTATTAGCTTCTCTGGGTTTGGATTTTCAGATAGCTAAGCTTAAATTTGGTTTTATTATGGGTGGAGAGGGAGGCTGTAGAAGGTCTCTTTGATCTGCTATAAAGGGTCATGGAAAGGAAGGGGAGACTGAACATGTTGACCACAGAGCTGACGATGAGACTGGTGAACTGGATTTGGAGAAGAGCTAGAAGTTCTGAAAAATGCCTATCTATTTTCCTGGCAGGCTTTCTTGATTGATGTGTTTTTTGTTTGTTTGCTTGTTTGTTTTTTTTCTTGAATTTTACTTTTCATTACTCCCTTTCCTTCTCTTGTGACATTTTTGAGTAACATAAATTAATAGTTAGGGCTATAAGACAGGGCAAAAGTACTGGTTATACATGAACTTGAGACAGAAAATTAAATCAACCACTTGTAAAGTGTAGCAAATAATGTCCCATTGAACAATTCAGATCCTGTTAGGAGATTACTAACATATATGATGCAATAACAAAGTTTCTGGGTTTTTTGAGAACAGAATTTCTTCTGGGAAAATGAAAGAAATTTGAATTTGAACAGTTGGTATGAAAATATGTTACAACTGAGATTATATGCTTCAAAACATGAGCAATGAGGCAGAATTGAATTTGCTCTCTTCTACTGACAAGATATCTCTAACAGGGTGACAGTCACCGGCATGTGTACTGCCCTCACTTAAGAAATGTCAAATCTGGGAAGTTCAGCAAAATAGCAGGTTTCTCTATGTTTAACCACTAAGATCCCATACCCAAGTCATACTCATTGTAACAGGATTAATGCTGATTTCTCCAAGTTGCTGATGGAGGGGGACCATTGCTGCTGGTGTGTTTACAATACTTGAGGCTTGTGTGTGCATCCCTTTAATTCTGCTCTTTACGCACAAATGTGCACACGGTTGTGAAGACATACTCTCTTTCAAATGTTTAACTAATTTCACCTGTATAACTATGTATGTTGGAAATATTGACCCATGAATGTAAAGATCCTAGCAACAACAACAACAAAGCAAACAAACAAACAAAAAAAACCCAGAACAAAAAAATCTATCTTCTTAGGAGAAACTTTATAAAAGTGATATTTGATATGATAAAATAAATAATGATGAAAGGTAAGAGATCTATGAAATAAAATATTATTAAAGTAGTTATATATGGCATATGTTGTAGTGTGCTAATTTAAAACTTCTGAAATCAACAAGATTTAATATTATAATGTTCATAGCAACATTAACTTCTCAGAAGGAAAGGAAAGTTCTGTAGTCACCACTGCATCCTCTGGTCTTGGTGGGAAGAATCTGTATCAAGACAGGAAACTGGATCGATTCCCCATGACCAGCTGCTGTGAAGGTGTGATTGGGATTGGTCACAGCACTGAGATGAAACAAAGACTTGTCAGCTGCATCTTCAACCCCAGGGGAGATCGTGAACTGACAGGAAAGATTTCCAAGTTGTAATTTCAGTGAAGTCAGTGCGCTCTTGTATTAGGGTAGGTTTCTGAGATGTGACCCCTGGGAAAAGGTGGGTGGGGCACACCTGGAATGTTTTACATTACTTCCTAAAACTTTTATGTGAATTTACAATTATCTTAAAAAGTTTAAAAAAATCCTCAATTTAAAAATTTTACATAAATGTTAAACTTGAAAACTTTTCTATGCAACTTTGGGATTAGTTACCATTGTTCATGTGTGAAATTTACATAGGGAGTATTGGAAAAGTAAATACAGCAGGAAAAATGTAGTAATAGGTGCAGGTTTGTGTTTGTTGTGGCTGCTGCTGCCTTTTTTGACTGCTTGTGAGCCCCTGGTTCCTTATGGTGCAACTGTTTCTATATTTCCATCAGTTACACATGTATAGAGATACAGGGTATAACCTCGTGCTCTCTGACATGGAAATCTCTATCAGTAATATGAATCAGAAATTAATTTATTCTATAATCTCTTTTTAAAAACTTACTTTTGGTTATTTGGTTATTTCCTGCTGAAAATGTTTAGAAGTGACACAAATTAAAGTAAAACCCACATGAACATATTGGTCAGAAACAAATAGACACAGAGGAAGGTCTTAGGAGGCGAACCAGGGTTTGTCATTACTTTTGCATGAGAGTACAATCACAGTTGTAGAAAACACAGGTACGTAGTTGAGAGGATAACCAGTAAATTTTTTCAATATTTCAGAAGGTCAAGGAGACAGTTTAGAGTCAAGGGTACACCAAGAGGAGTGTATTAGAAATAAAATACTTGAGAAGAGTTTTAAATCCTATGGGCCACTATAACAAACACATTAATCTGTGGAGCTTATTAACAGTAGAAACACATTTTTCACAGTTCTAGATGTTCTCAAGTTCAAGGCAGACAAAACTGACATATGTCTGCTTTGTGGTCTGATGGGGGAAGTCCTGTGCATTTGTCAATAAAGTGCTGTTGAGCCTATAGGGAACCAAGATAGGAGGGACTAGGAGTCCAGGAGAACTCTGGGAAGGAGAAACACAGGGGAGTCGACATGTAACACCATGGGGGTAGGAAGCCCGGAACCATTCTCCGGTAAGAGACATACTTAGATGAACAATTATGGGGTAATTACTTAAGTCAGAGGTAGCCAGTAAGAAACAAGCAAGGCCAACAGCTTCATAATTAATATAGCCTCCTGTGTGTTTATTTGGGACTGATGCGGATCTATAACCAGGCGGGCGGAATGGTTTTTCTCAAGAAAAAGCTTCTTTTAACAATGGTCCATTGATGGGCATCTTTAGATAAAAGTTCAAATGGTTTTCTAAATTGAAAAGTCTATAAAATAACCTTTCAGTGGACCAAAAAATACTGAAGGAATATCTGCTTTTGATAAATGAAACGTCATCTATGTGCAATGCTCGAGGAGTCTGAACTAATGGTCTGGACCTGCATTTTTACCCTGCTCACTCAATTAGCAGAGGATCGTTCAGGATCTCACTTGATAGTATCACGTAATTTTACATGTATAATAATTTAATTTAATAACAATTTTAAATTTCTACATATTTTACAGGCCTTTTTATGTTTACACACACATATGAGCACTGTTATGTTACACTTGTTGTGTTACTGCTTTGAGATTCCATCTTACACCTGTCAGAATGGCTAACATCGACTAGACAAGGGAAAGCTCATTCTGAGGAGGATGTGTAGTAAGAGGAACATTCATCCATTGCTGGTGGGAGTGTAAACTCACTCAGGCACCATGGAAATCAGTGTGGTGGCTCCTTAGGAAGATGGGAATTGACGTATGTCAGGACCCAGCTATACCATTCCTGGGCCTTTACCCCAAGGAGGCTTCAACTGTCAGCAAGGCACTTGTTCAACCATGTTAACTGTTGCTCTATTTGTATTAGCCAGAGTCTGGACCCAAAATCTCAATCATCTTCAGCAGAAGAATGGATAAAGAAAAAGTGGTACATTTACACAATGAATTATTACTCAGCCAGTAGAAAAACAACATTATAAGATTTTCAGGCAGATGGATGGAACTAGAAAAAATCCTGAGTGAGATAACCTAGACTCAGAAACATGAATATGGTATGTATTTGCTTATATGTGGATATTAGCTGGGAAGTCAGTGGTAACCAAGCTATAATCAATAGAACCAGAGAGGTTTGATACAGAGTAAGGGACTAAAGGGAATAGACATATAGTGTTAGAAAAGTGGATTTGAATAGATAGTTATGGATGGATGGATGGATGGATGGATGGATGGATGGATGGATGGGGTTGGAATTACATCTAACTAAGTTGATGGCTGAAGGGGTCCCATGGGAACCCCCAAACAACATAGCTGTTGCAAGGACTGTATAGGTTGCTCTGCACAATCTGACAGCAAGGCCCCATTGCTGCATGCACAGGGCCTGCATGGGTCTGCACCATGTTCTTTGCATATATGTTATGGTTTGCAGTCGAGTGTTTTTATGGGATTCCTGTGTTTAGGTCTCTGGTTCTTGTGCCTTCTCTTTAGTTCTTTTCTTTCTGTTGGATTTGTCTTTCCAACTTTATGTGATATATTTTGTTTTATCCTAATATATTTTATTTTGTCTTATTAGAAAAACATGGCTGAATGAATGAAAAGCTAGCTGCTAGTGTAAAGGTTGACAGCTGAGTTGTCATTTATCCCTGCTTGGAGAGGGAAAATCACTTTTCTCAAACAGAGTGACACTGAATAGATCAATCACTTCAGTACAGGCCTCATGTTCAGAAGTAGTTGACAGACACAGAATGCACTCCACACTTTTTTGTGTGTGCCTTAATTTGGTTACCATTTGGTACTTTTGATTTTCCTTTTTGAGTGTGGTTCTATTCTATTTCATTGGTTTTGGGGGTTGTTGTTGTTGTTGTATTAGGTTTTTGTTTTTGAGAAGAAACTTAAAGATAGATGAGGGGAAGAATATGGAAAGACTTGAGGGGGGGGAAGAATATGATCAAAGTACACTTACATTTAAAATTTGTTTCAAATAATAAAAATACCACAAAAAGGGTCTTGGGATATGTTTTAGTGGTAGGCAGAGTGCTTGGTAGCATGCTTAAAGGGTTTGGTTCCAACTATCTATCTATCTATCTATCTATCTATCTACCTATCTATCTATCTATCCATCTATCATCTCTCATTTATCTATCATCATCTATCAATTACCTATCTATTTTTCTAATCAGTGACATAGTTCCATTATAGAGGATGATATTAGGCAGTTGCTTTTAAAATACACCAAAAAATCTGTTTTAATTATTTTAAGTTAACAAGTGAATGGACTTCTGTAGTTAGAGCGATACTGGCAACAGATATGATGAAAACTCCTGGATTACCAAGCCAGCAGGCGGCAAGAGCATCCACATGTCAGGCCTTGGGTCCTGAGCTGCACTCCTAGAGTTAAGAAGAGAGAGTCAAGGCACTTTTGGAGTAGTGTATCTCTAATTTCAGAGTATTTACACAAGTTTATTTGACTTTTGTTCAATACAGAGATGTTATAGTCCCATGGCAATATACAGACTTACCTTTATTGCATGTGGAGGTACTATTGTCTCCATCTTTCAAGGCTCCCTGAAGGTGGCTGTTAATAGAAACATTTTTGAAAAGTTGGTCTGGAAAACAGATATTTAGTATCTTTTTTTTTTGTAAGACCTGACCAGAGTTGTAGAAAAATTCACTTTCAAGGTCAGTGATGGCTAAAACCTGTTCATAAGTTGATATGAGAGAGGGATTTCTTCCAATTTTTAGATATTGGCTAAAGAAAATTTATATAGATATATTAAAAATATTAATATCCATGGGTTCTGTATCTGTGGATTCAACAAAGAAGACTTAAAATACTTGCTTTTCTTCTTTACTAAACATAGACATTCATTTTCATCATTATTCCCTAAAGAATTCAGCATGACAACTGTTTACACAGAATTTACATTGCGTTCATTATCATAAGTAATATAGAGATGATTTCAAGTACATGAAAGATGCATGTAGAATTCATACAAGTACTGTAGCATTCTATATATGGAAGCCTCTGCAGGATGTGGGAATCAGTTTCCAATGGATCCCAAGAGATGTACGTTGTACATGTAAAATATGTACCACACACACCAAATACATGTATAAGTACACACATATCTACTTATATGACTAATTTCTCATCTCTTGCATTTAAAATGCAAATCAATGACTATGTGTGGGTTCATTACCTTTCTCTGGTCCCTAAATTATTGCACATGAATTTAATAACTAATGGTGTAGTGTGCCATACCATAGCCCTTTCTTTTTATTAATACCATACTCCAGAAAACAAAAACAATGTAACATAATTTGAGAGTCTAACAATCTTAAAGTGAGGCAGCTTCCTGGCCACCCCCTATCCACAGACTCTAAAACATTGCCCCAAACTGGACTGCAATAAAGAGTTGCTCATTAGGGATTTTGAACTCGGCACTCTTTCTTACACTTTGAGTCAGGCACACTGTGCTTTGAAAATTCTTCTTTTAAAAATGCGTTTCAGGGCACAATAAACTCAAGGGTTCTCTTTATTCATGATATTCTGATATAAAGATGCATCCCAAGGGAAAAAGCATGTCTCCAGAAGTGACTACCTCCAACCCTTCCTTTGACAATTTTATTGTTCTTGTGGATATTGTTGATTTTCCCCTGGTTGTCATTTTCACCCTCAACAGGAATTTAGTAGGGAGAGTTTACTGCTGAAAACAAATCCGTGTAAGTTCTCCCAGGAGAGTAAAAGCCAGCAATGTGCTGAAATCTCTGTGGTCTTCCTTAAAATTAAATAGCTCTGTGCACAGCAAAAGCAGAAATTACAAAATGTTTCAGTACTCCGTGGGCATCAAAATCTCTCCGCACAGGAACCAGAAAAGGTTTGTCAGCCTTAATTACTGAGCAAGAGCAGGGGCTACTCTACAGGGCACTCCGGGTTCATGCACACAAAGGGTGAGCGAGAGGCATGGGGATCTTGTGAGGCAGTAACTGTCCCTCCTGGCCAGTTGAAGCCCGCCCCTCCTGGGACCTGGGGACCTGAGCAGGCTAAACTTGAGGCTCCGGATAGACATCTGAATGCCTCCCAAATTGAGGTTCTACCCCTCAGAGGCAGGGAGAGGAGTGGAGTGCGTGCGCGAGTGCTTACGTAGCCTCAAGCTCTGTGCTGGGATAATCAGGAGTTGGGCTGAGCCGAGTCCTCTTTTAGCAGCAGCGGGCACAGGAGTACCAGCAGCAGCCCCAGGGACGCGCGGGACCCAGCGACTCAGAGCGCACGGGGATAGCTGGTGCTGGCCGTACCACCTCTTGGGCGCACAAAGGTAAAGGCAGCCTCAGCCCTTGTGGCCTGCTTCGTCCCGGCGTTCCCGTCCTCTCCCTCCTTCCTCTCCCGAAGGCGAAAATGGCTGGGCTGGCCGAGGACCTGGGACAGCAGTGGTCTTAGCTCTGCCAGTCCCCACCCTTCCTGCTGACAGAGGCGGCGGCGGGCTGTCCTTGGATGAGGTGGCAGAGGCTGCTCTCTGGCGAATCCTCATCCCGGGTAGCAGCTACCGGGTCTCTTTGCTAGCTCCATCCCTCTGAGAGGAGTTGATGCTGGCATCACCCCCGCCGCCACCGCCACCACCTCCGCGGAAGCCAGTGCTGATGGATGCTGGGGAGTGCCGCATTGCTTAGCGTCCCCGCCTCCGGGTTTGCTGGTAGGAGCTGGCTGCTCTTTCTTCTTTCTGGCTTTGGGGGAGGCTGGAAGGGGGGTTATAGCAAAGATAGAGACATTTTTATTTCATTCTCTACAACTCCCTGCACCCACCCTGGTTTTGACATGTATGCTCCCAAAGGGGTCTCCTCCGGTCCTTATCCTCACCCTCCACTCCCTTGGCAAGTTCCCTGAAATAAAGGGATAGACTAGGCAGAAGTTGGGGGCGGGGGTGGGGGAGCCTACGCCCGAGTCAACGGTACCCAAAACCCAGCTGGAGCCTTATGAGATCACGGTGTGTGGAAGAGGGGTGGAGGGAAGGGTGCATACTCTCTGCAGTCTCCCCTAATTGGATCACAATAACCTAAAGTAAAAATCGCACAAAGATAGCCTGTAAAAATAGCATCTTCGGATAAGCAGAGGGAGAATTGAGCTCCCTTCCCTTCCTTTCTCTCCTTTTCTTTCTGCCAAAGACTCTCCCTCCCCGCCCTGGAGCTCAGCACTGAAGAGCCACCTTATTATTAATCAGAATTTCCGTCTTTATCCGTGGCAGGCACATCCTTCAGCAGGGACCGCCGCAGCATCACAGCGCTGGGGCTGAGATGTGCATGGGGGTTGTTTTCCTTACATCTTGCAAGACAAGAGAAGAAGACCGAACCAAGACCCGAAGCGTCCATGCTAAGTGGAATTAGGCTTTCTTTCTTTTTCTTTCTTTCTTTCTTGTTTTTTAATTCGGAGAGGTAAAGGACAAGAGGTAGGTCTGCAGGGCCTTCCCAGAGGCTCGCTTCTCATGGGAGGCTTTGTTTTTTAGGAGGCTGCGGTTAGAAGTTTAGATACTCTCCAGAAAAGCTGTGGAGGAAAGCAGGAGCAACAGGGTACTTGACTGAACACTAAGAGGAACCATTTCCTGTACCGGAAACGAGGCAGACAGCAACTAGGAGAACTGGGGGCTGGAGTGTGGTGTGGCGGTGCCAAGGGCCAGGTGTGTTGTTGGACACACAAGGAGAGCTGCAGAGAGGACACCCTGGGCACAAGGGAACAATGACTCATTTGCAAGCTGGTCTCTCTCCTGAGACCCTAGAGAAAGCTCGCCTGGAACTCAATGAGAACCCAGATACTCTTCACCAGGACATCCAGGAGGTGAGGGACATGGTCATCACTAGGCCAGACATTGGCTTTCTGCGCACGGATGACGCTTTCATTTTACGCTTCTTGCGGGCCAGGAAGTTTCATCACTTCGAGGCTTTTCGCCTCTTGGCCCAGTACTTTGAGTATCGGCAGCAGAACCTGGATATGTTCAAAAGCTTCAAGGCTACTGACCCTGGCATCAAGCAGGCACTGAAGGATGGCTTTCCTGGGGGCCTGGCCAATCTGGACCACTATGGGAGGAAGATTCTAGTCCTTTTTGCTGCCAACTGGGACCAGAGCAGGTAAATCTTAAATCCAAAATTTTACTTCTCGCTTTCTGACCCTTCCATTTTTTTAGAGTTTACTCCGAGGAGTTTTGGAGTGCTGCAACTTTCATGGTTTTGGTTATTTGGCTGGAGGCAAAGGGAAAACAACGGGACTGAGAGATGAGCCTTGAGTTGGCTTCCTGGGAAGGTCTTGTAGTTTTACTTTTAAAACTTCCTTCTCTGGCACAGTTTCTACCGTGGCTTTGTGTGTTCCTCAAACCATATTAGTATGCTGAGAACTAAATCACAAAACTATTAAATAAAATTTAAAAACTTTGGGCTTCTAAATCCATATGCATAATTTATATAGAGAAAGGGGGAAGAAAACAGAGGCAATGTTTTCCTCCTTCTTCCTCAAGAAAGTCTTAAAGCCAGCTCATCATCATCACTTCATAATCATCTTTCTTTCTCCATAGTACCATCATTTTATCTCCCCCAAATAGCCCCATGCTTAACCAAGAAGAGTCAGTTTTGTTGCTTGGAGACTTTTCTGCTTGGTGATGTGTAGATGAAGGTGGAATATGATACGTGTCACTTCAATGAGAAGGAAGAGTTATACCCTCTGTCACTGAGCATGCTTAGCGACACTGAAAATAAAGGCTGACTGGTGTTCGTGTTCTACACCTGTCACTAATCTGAAGAACACGCTTCCTGTCTGATGTGATTGCTCATCTTTAGAGGTGGGAAACTTAAAATACATCAGCTGGTAGACTCTATGAGCTCAGGTGCTGTTCAGTAAGAGAGAAATAATACTTCCTCTACTGTAGAAAAATGCTCACAGTGACATTTGTATGTCCTTCATCAGAATTATTTTCTTAGACTGAAAGACTTAAAACTTATAAGAGGCTCTTGGGTAAGGTAGTTTCCAGGAAACACAAAGTTAAACATATTTCATAGCATTTATGAGACCAATTGTTATGGCATTTGGTATCTTCTGTGGATGGTATCTTTGGATACATCTGGTTAGTTTCTGGAGCAATGTAAATGATTTCTGCAGTTAAAGAGAGATCCAATAGCTCTAACAGATTCCCCTACAGACTTTGGAGAGCACTATTAGTACGTTAAAATGTAAATGGATATTTTAATAGTTTTTCCCCTTTTAATTGGTCACGCTTTCCTGTAATTCTAGGTTGAAAGGTTCTACTGATATTTTTTCCCTAGTAAATGTGAAGATTAACTGTCATTTGGAGATAACAGAGTTTAGGAACTTACTGCCAGGACTACAGAATGGGATGGAGTCTCCTGGCTTTGGTTAGGTCCTGTGGATCTTACATTGACTTTTTTTTGTGTGTGGTGCAGGGCCAGGAAGGAAACTTCAAAGGATTATGAAATTGCACCCATTGGCTACATGCTTTCTTTGAGTGTTTTTATTTTAATGTAAGAAGTTCACTATAGAGTTATACAAACCACTTGTGCCTATCAAAATGTAAAAATGAAATTGGCACAGAACCTCATATTCCTTCTATCAGCTAGATTGGAAATGTATTAATTGAGCTATGGTATTATGCTATATGGAACCATAGTGATCTGCACACATTTTATACTTAAATATGTCTTGAACCTGTTTGAAATCTTTAGAGAGGCAGGTTTCACACACACACACACACACACACACACGCACAAATTGTTTTTTTCTGTATGCGAACAAATAGTATTCACACTTGATAGACCATACCTAAGTGAATGTTACTTACAGTTCTCATGTGTGTAGGAAGGGTTATTTGTACTATAGGAAATAGAGTGTGTTTTAGTTGCTTATTCCATGCAACTAAAATGTAAAAGACAGGCTATTAATCATCAAAACTCTCCCTGGAAATCTATAGTGGGAGGGAATTTATTGATTGGCATGTAGAATTCTTTTCAACGAGTCAATACAAGATGATAAGTAATAATAAATGCTTGTGCAGTTAAAATTAAAAATGAGAAGCCACATTTTGTGGACACTACTGTCAGGGTGTACGTTCTAGTAATGGGGTATAATTTCTGTGGTGGGGGGCACTTCTCATCTAGAAGGCACAGTACATCAACAGGAAAAGGATGAATGTGGTTTAGGGCTTGTCTAAATTTCAGCTATTTTTCTCCTTTACTCATAAAGTAAAATACTCTTAAAACATATCCTTCTCTTTTCTTACACATTTCAAATCAACATATACTGATAGACAGAGACACAGAGAAAAAGTTCTGAATGTTGGCATTCTCTGGAAGCCTTCATCTTCAGGATATGTGCTTAAATAATGCCATGATCTCTACTTTGAAAGGAAGGAAAGCTGTCTCTCGCAGTGACAGAGCCTCCTCAGTTCATCTCAATGTGGGCTTCCTCTTTCTGTTCTTTATCTTGTGGTTTATCTTGCTTGCTTCCCATAGAAGTCTCTGTGACCCTCTCTATGATGCCTTGATAATAGTGCTCTGTTAGATCTACATGTCACTTGCCACTTTTACCTACTCCCCATCCCTCTCCTCTTCTGTGACTCAGATACTCACTCTTACCTTTCTGTCATCTTGACAGTTGCAAATCACCTGAGTTTAAGAAGACTGTATGTCTGAACTTAACTCTGGCCACATCCCTTGAGTTGAATAGCTATTTTAAAAAATAATGCTGTTTTAAGGAAAGAACATTATACAGGGAAATTTCAGAAATTGAGAAAAATCTCTAACTCACATAATTTAAGGGAAAAGGGTTTATATATAATTCCCCAAGTACAAAGATAAGGGGAAAATGCATACATTTCCATGGAAAGTTAATCTGGTAACAGAAGAACCTGAACTAGAGTAGAAAGACCCAGAAAGAACCTGAGTTGAAAAAAAGATACACAGTTTTTGCCAAAAATTCTAAGTGAGAATTTATTTGTGACGAGTTTTCTCCTGTATGAATAAGGAAGAAAAATTCCGAGGTTCCCTAGAACACGGGACCTTTAAGTGTGTTTGAAAGGCAAGCATAAATAAACTCGTGACTTTTCTATTGACATATATCACAAGTTAGTGTGGACTTATTACAAAGAACTAAAACATTTCTGAAAAAACGTTCTGAGCTATGAAGTCATCAAGAAGATTATGTGAAACACAATATTTGCAGTGTAGCCACTTTATAAAATATCTAATTCAACTCAAAATTCTAAAATGTCAAAGTGATTTTGCTTTGGTCTGCAGTTCTTTTAAAAAGGACTGGAACAGGCTCAGCTGACGCACATTTCATCGATCAGGCTACACCTTGGAAGATTCACACAAATTTGTATCCTTCCTTTGAGATCATCTAACATAGTTTTTGAAAATAGAAGTAAACATGAGAAAATTATAAACATTTTGATGGTCACGCTGCACCAAGAGACTGCCATAGTTGTTCCTTGATCCCAGATATCACATGCTTCGTTGGCTTCCTCAATGATAGTGCCTTGCTTAGGACTAGTCGATACGTTCAATTTTTTCCACCCCATTTTGCCAAAAGCCTGGGGATAATGATCCATGAAGTCAGAAGAGAAAGCTTCTTGTAGAAAGGAAGCTTAGAATGAAAAGGGAAAGCATCCTAGACCTCAGATCATAATAGCAAATATCTGAAAAGTTGGAATCCACAGATTAAAGGTATGAAGATGACTCAGTGTGTGAAAGCACTAGCCACAAAAGCATGGTAACTTAAGTTCAAATTCCAGAATCCATGTAAAAGCTAGACACATAGCCTGTGCCTCTGAACCCCAGGTCCCTTATTTGTAATAATATGTTACAGGGGAATCCTTAGAAGCTCATGGGTCAGCTTTTTGTACACGGTAGTGAAACTACCCTGTTTCAAACAAGATGGAAGATGCGGACTGACACCAAAGGTTGTCAACCCTGACCTCTACTTGTGTCTGTACAGTGTACATCTCACAAACATACACAGAGGGGGGATACTCATGGTTGGACAAGTAATTATTACTGGAGGTATATTCATGAATGAAATTTTGTCATATGCAATATATGATGACATATTTGGAGTTGGCTTGTGTATTGTCAATTAGCCCACTCTTTATACTTTTGCAGATCGCACCAGGCTTACAGAGTTGTTCTTTACATTAAACAGTCATTTATCTGGAGCCTTGCTGATAGCCATAAGAAAATAATTATATATAACTATCGGTAAAGCAGTTCTTACAATAGTGGTAATTCAGAGTGTAACAACCATCTTGCTCTTGTCTAGTCACAATGACTACACATAGAGTATTAAAGTTCTGGAAGTGGTACAAAGCAGTCTATTCAGATACGGCTGTGATCTTACAATTATCCAGAAATTTGCCTATCACTCTTGCATATTTTTGGCATTGTCTTTTTCTTAGAAAGAAAACCATGTGAATACAGTTATTTGTGACTTCTTTTCAAATTATGCTTCTATCTCTCCAAACAGTGTGGTCAACCTTCAAAAGAAATGCAGGTTTTTCAAACAGTTACCCAACACTTAAAAAAAAAAACAGCCACAGAACACAACAGCTTGAGTTAATGCCAGGTGCAATGATTTAGTCTTCCTTAAAGTGCTCTAAAAGATGCGAGTTGAAGTAAAAGAAAAATGACTAAGTATAGATTGAAATAGTCATGGCAATTAGCCAGAGAAGTAGGAAGATGCTTATAGAAGTTCTTTAAAAAGTTTCAATTGTTTGGTCTGATTTTAAAAAGGTTTCCTTTCTCAGCTTATTGAAAATTTTTTTCAGCTGAGAAATTACCGTCATGGGCAGTGCAGACCTTCATAAGCTCAAAGGCAGTGCTGTGTGCTGTTATGGGTGGGTTTTGATTATGTTGAAGCTAGTAATGGCTAATGGGCATTGCATGGGATTTCTGTCCCAGAAAAACTCCCATAACTGTAAGGAAGTTCTCTCAACAACATTCTAGAAACAGTGACTGATGACAAATAAAGGTACAGGCCATGGAAAACTGAAGGTGATATAAAAAGTTGTCTTGGGAAATGGTAGAGGGACAAGGTGGCAGATTCCTGAAAAAAAAATAGGACAGTCTCT